GGATGCGTGCACTAGATGAATCTCAACAGCGGAATCACAGATACCATCTAAACTTCACATTTCGCCTGTTCGTAATACTTCAAAAATAAAAATTATGAACCCTTCATATTTTTGAGCAATTATCTCAATCATCATGGCAAACAATGAGGAAATCACAGCGTGACTAATAAATCCACCCATCACCTCACCTGTCAACGTTGTGAATGCTCTACGAAAGAAAGTCAATGCTTCTCCTCCTTGACTGTGTCTTGATGAGTGTCTGTTCGGCAGTAAATTTACAGTGTTAATCATCATGCAAACTGTTGCCGACGTTGTCCCCAACTGTCATTCATATCAATGCAAGAGTAGGGCACTTAATGAGAAGCGAGTTGCGGTCAAAGGCTCCTGCATCATCCTCAGATTCTTACCTCTTCCGAAAACTAATAAACAGCTAACGGAATTTGCGGCTTTCCTCTACCAATGCATCTTTGAGGCAATTTGTCGACAAGCAATACAGACAAAATAGATGCTCTTCGTACTGTATATAGGTGTAAATTATGACTGTGGCGCGGGGCATGAATTTCTTATTACAATCAGATCAGACCCAGACTGGCGTAAATTTGACTTATCTAAATCGGCAGATTATTCCTCAAAGATTAGGAAATGAGTTAGTTTCAAAAGGTTTATTTCAGGCTTCCGCCTGCGCTACTCACGCGCTACGCAACAGGGGTTATCCGCAAGGGAAACAGATTCAGACTTATTAGTCCGAGGTTTCTGGAAGTCCTACAAGATATTGCACAAGCATCGAAGAAGTTGCATTCTATGAGTTAAGTTGGCAAAAACATTTGTCTGTAGGTGACGCCTGATTTCATGATTTCAGAACGGACGAATATTTTGTGAAGACCTGACCAGAAACTGAGACTTGCTGAAGAACTAAAATTAGACATTTATGAACATGATATCGAAGAACTGATTGACTGACATGAGGATGAATTATCGAATAAAAATCTCATTGAAATAGAAGCAGCAAATGCCATTTAAGTTAAGGCTTAAGAATCAGAAGAGGAACCAAAAAGATTAGTGACGAAAGAGATGACACTCAGCAGGAACGGTACAATTAAAGAATAGAATCCTAAGGTCTCACATCCACAAGTCCAGAAGGAGACAGATGACGTTTTAGTCTGTTACTGAGTGAAGGTAAAAAGCCATTGTTCAGTAATCTCTTCATAACTTGGTAAGGGAGCTCGAATGGCCAAATTATATCGGCGTAGGCCGATTCGGCGCGATACGTTTCGATAGTGATAGTAAATGACTCTCATAATAGTGATATTATCACTTACCTTCACAGCTTAGCGCATAACCACGAAACGGCGCAGTGATGATATATACTGCATATGAAATTTGCTATATGAATAAAGTTGCTGTGTAAATCAGCTTGTTTTTCTGAAAAGTCGTCTTTAAATTAAATTATTTTCAAAAGTTTAATTGTAAAATATAATTGGACAATTTCAGAACTAATTTGGTAGACGTTTTGGCATTGTACTCACTGAGAGATGTTGATATAGAAAAATGAATAACTGCTCATGGACGAAATCTTAGAAATTCATTAGTCTGACAAAAGTTGCACGTTGTGCTCGCGGCGAGCTTCTCAGATGCGCATCACTGTAGGTTCAATATTACAACTGATCAATATTTACCATGCTACATCAATAGAGTTGCTTGATACATCAACTCATTGTTCTTGCATGAAAATTTGACTTTAAACTAAGTTATATTTACAAATTTAAATCTTGTGAAATAATTGCGCAGTTTGACAACTAATTTACCAGACGTTTCGGTATGATACTCACAGATGTTAATATATAAAAAAATGAACATCTGCTGATGGACAAATTCTTAGAATCTCAGAAATTCATTAGTTTGACAAAGATTTCACGTTGTGCTTACGGATAGGTTCTACAGATATATAACTTGCTGGTTGGATATTACAGTTGATGGAGATCACCACATTTCGATCATATAGAATTGCACAGGACTGCACGTTGATAACGACTAACGGCCGTGCCAAATCATCCCATTCCGTTCAGTCCCGTACCTACCGAAGAACTTTGACCAGCTCTTCCTCGTCCAACCTTAGCATTTAATTCTGCCATGATGACAACGTACATGAACAACTTTCAGTTATTGATAGAATCCTTTCACTTCCTCTTCGTCGGCTGTGGGAGCATAGATCTGGACGATCTTCAAGGTCATCTTTCTGTTCAGTTAAGATATATACAGCCAGCCTTGGTGATATCGTATGGCAGGAAACGATTTTTGAGGATCAGTTTTCGATTACTTTAAATCTGATTCCTGCTAGGTGCTTCGCATCCTCTCTTCTTCCCTACGGAATCGAACTATCGTCTGTTCAGATGCAGTTCGTTTCCTCCAGCTGCATTGACCAGCAGAAACTGAGGACGTCGAAGACCATCCTTTCCCTTTCCTCCTTTAGTTTCCTAACACCATTACTGTTCCACTGAGGTAAACGCAAACTTAAACAGGAGTGTGGACGTTCGCCTGGGATTCTTAGCAGGCTCCTGTCAGTCGGGCACGGAAAATAGGTCGAAAGACGCAATGGATACACAGGCCGATTTATTCCTTTTGTCACAACGCATGAAGTTTTTCCACTAGCTGACAGAGTTGACGGTGACCTGGCGAATTTCGTACAGATCGCCACCCCCGCTCCCAGAATTCCGTTCGGTTTTAATCGAAGTTATCTCTTATAGGTTTTGACCCACGAACATCCAATCGCAAGGCAGCGCTGACATTGGCGACCATTCTTCATCAAAGGTGTTGGTCACTTTCGCCTTGTCATTCACTGCTACGTTTTCTCTGAGGATCGAACCTCTCGAGTTCGAACCAAGCCACGCTCTCATTGTCTGTCCGCTTATTTGTGGCAGCTTACCTCCATATCTGGAGATCATTACCCCATCCGCAACCCAGGGAAATGATAGAGGACTTGCAGCTAGACACCATGCATACTGTAATTTACTTACCGAGATTGCTGTATCGAAAGAAACGGTCGCTTCCAGAGGGCAAAAAATGCGCCATGCTGTCCAAACTCGTTTCCAAATTTGTCAACAAAAGTGACGCTGATCGGTACCGTTGGTCCTAGAAACAAACAAATCAAATTTTGACTATTCAGTTCTCACAGAATTACAAAATATATGGATTTTATATGTTCAACACTGAACCACAAACACAGCCACTGCGGTTTCAAGTCCGGATGGGCTAGGAGTAGGATTGGTGACGAGGCGAAATCTCCAGTGGGACTTAGCCACCTGCCTATAATGGCACTGACGCTTTAATATGGTATACGTTTCGGCGCCGATCGATAGTCGTCAACAAAATATGCATCTCGCTTGATTCTATATGATCTGACTGTAGTCATCTCGATTAGTTGTAATGACGAACCCACGGTGTTACATGTCTGAGAAGCTCTCCGTGAGTACGATGCGAGACTTCTGTTAAACTAATGAATTTCTACGATTTCGTGTTTTATTTCATGACTCCATGTTTCTACCTGTGAGAACTCATTAATTTAATGCGCACTGTGTGGTCGCGAGTTTGACTGTCCATCAGGAGATGTTCATTATTTACATATTAATGAACTCTTTTTCTGAATACAACATTAAACGCCTCACTGAGAGCACAATTTGAATCCACCGTGAAACGCATTTTCAGCATTATGTTTCATTTGGTCCCCTCTCATAACTGCGCAGGGTCATTATTTCAACATAGAGTAATACTGTAGCCATTGCAA